CAAAATCAGAGTGGCACTGAATTTAGACATTAACCAAGAGCTCTGGTAGCAAAGGCTTTATAGCTTTTATGCCTTAAAGCTTAGGCATGAAGCTTGATGCTGTCTCTGGAAAGCAACTTGAGAGCCAAAGAAAGTAATTGTTTAAGATGCACAGTTACTGTGTGTGTTTGTGTGTATGCGCATGCATCCATTTACCTTTTTTAAGTAATTTTATTAGTACGTGTTTGTGGTACATAATGATTGCATGCAGTGTGGGGAGTCGGCACGTGCAAATAACACATCTTAATTCTTTTTACCTTCCCTTCTCATCAGTAACACAGGTTTAGAAAAGCCATGAGATGTTCGCAGATTTGAAAATTAACTTACAGGCTAATAGTATCTTTTTCCTTCAGGTGAGTGCTACAATATCATTAATATTTTAAAGACAAAAAAATTTATGCACTGAAAACTCATCTTCCTGGCCTAAATTTCACCTGTATCTCTAATCTGTGTCCATTATTTCCTTTGTGGAGCACTAGGGCATTCTGTGTATGAATTTGTTTGTGAAGCTTTTCCAACTGTGGCATGTGATGTAAGAGTCCGGAGAGCACAGACCTACTCATAGGAATGTGCCATTGGAAGTTGGGGACAGTAAAGGTGCAAATACGTAGATAAAAATCTAAAAAGGAAATTAACACTCGAGCTGTGATTTAGTTACATCGAGACCCAAGGCAGCAACCTTCCCATGCAAACCTGTGCCGGGCCCAGGCTAAGGAGGCCAGGAGCAGACGGGTGCTCAGGAAGCTGATTAGAGACTGAGGAATCCGACTGTGAAACTTGAGGGAAGTGCGGCAGTGGCCCAAAGGAAGCTCCCAGGAACAGGTGGTGTCCCAGCTGTTCCCCTGTTCTCCCCATGGGAGATGGGACGCTGCCCAGGGGAGGCCGGCATATGAGGCGGAGACCAGGAGCCGCGTGGTCCAGGACTCAGCCAGCCATAGTTACAGCCATGTGATGTGAGGTGTGGGCAGGGTACCAGCTACTGGGTTGCCTGAGCAGCACCTCCAGTTCAAGAGGTTATTCGGTTTACTCCTACTTTGGTTTTTGTTCATTTTTTTAAATTTGTGAGATGCTACTATAGATGATACTTTAAAATCTACATTTTCTGCCACTTTCAAAGACATTGCTTTTAATAGTTCATTAAGCATGTTTAGTTACATTTTATGCTTTTTAATATTTAGTTATTTTCTAATTTTAAATGTTTTTCTGCCTCTTAAAATAACCATGTGCCCTTTTTTTGTACTTCATTGTTTTAAAATGTTGCTCTTTTTCTAGTTTAAACCCACCTCGTACTCCTGAGAACCTCAATTGATTCTCATTTTTTTATAGGTCGCTATATTCAGAGGACTTCTATTTTTCAGCATTCTTGCTTCTGTGTATGTGTAGAACTGACCGTGATTCTCTTTTCCCAGTTTTACTATCTATTCGTTGTAAAGAGTCAGTGGTTTCCCTCTTACTGTCGTCTTTGGAAGGATTTGTACCGGCATTATGTATTCCTTGAATTACGGTTAGATTTTGGGTGGAGAAGTCTGGAAATAGAAGAGACTTCGGAGACCTGTTTTGCTGAAGCATGAGTTAAATGGGAGGTTCAGATCCAAGGGCCTTGCTCCACCAAACTCTGAGCCAGCGCTTTTGCACTAGTAGACAACCTTATTCTGGGGTAGAGGAAGCACCTAGTTTGTCGTCTGAGATGGGTGTCTCAGTGTCTTCTCACTGGAGTCTGTGCAAATTGCAGTCAGAGAGGCTTGGTGACATCAGATAGTCCCGCCCTCAGTTTCTGGGCCTCTAGCTGAGCTCTGAATGGAGAGGGGGCGCTGAGCAGGCTGTGGGACGCCCATACAGCTAAGCTGCTCAGAGAGTGGGGCCTGCAGGGATTATGGAGGGTAATGTTCACCTGCAGTATCAAAGGAACGGTCGGTGTATGGTATTTTTGTGAACATTTATAAAGATTTAGTATGTTTTTGGAAATTTTCTCTGAAAACAAATTCTGTGAATTTTCCACTTGTGAGAGACAGTTGCACATACCTGGATGGATCCTTCACCCAACAGGACTTCTTGAGCACCATCTCATGTTAAGTTAGGCACTGCTCTGCCAGATGCTCACCGGGGGACGGTGCTGCCGCAGGGTTTGGGGTGATTGGACTGTGTTGGGGACTGAGCACTTCAGTTCTGTTCATTTCAGATTGCAGTTCGCCCGCACGTTCATTCTGAGCACCCGAGCCTGATGCAGTAACGAGCTGAAGGAAAGCTGCTTCCCTTATCTGAAACGATTTTAGCAAATATGCAAGCACAAGGGCTGCGTGTGTAACTCATGTCCAGATGTGTTCCAGGCTTTATCTTCATTTATTTAATCACTTCATTGAAAAAGGTTTTTTTTTTGTTTTGTTTTTTTTTTCCTTTTTTTGGCGATAGAGTTTTGTTATGATGCCCGGGTTGGTCTTGAACTCACAGTCCTGCTTCAGCCTCTCCAGTTGCTGGAATTACAGGTGTCCACCACTATGCCAGACTTATTTATATATTATATATGAAGAAGTGTGCCATGTTACAATGCATAATGATAAATTAAACCACATATAAAAGTGTCGTTTCTTCGCTCTTGCCTTCTTTGATTAGCAGAGCAGAACTATTAGTCATGTAGCTTTATTTAGTGCATTCTCTGCTTCCTGGGCTTATACCTTGGAGCTGAGATGGTGTCTTAAGAATTAACTGCTGTGTTCCACCATATATATTGACATATCCAGTCATATTCCCCATTCTTCTAATACTGCAGACATATATTGATTCAGGTCAAAATTTGGGGCTTGCTTTTATGAGTATAAATACTAGTCATAACTGAGGTATGTTGTGAACTGCTTGATGCCATGGTGGGGGGGCGTTGCACAGACCTTGCTTATCCTGGGATCAGTAATCACCTTATTACTGTTCAGGTGCTTAACTGTCAGCATACTTGACCCAACTCTATCGCCTGTCCTTCAGCCTTACCTGAAATTCACCTGCAGGTATGCAGACCTTGCTGAATGTGTCATGCCTCTGTGCTTGGCAGTCCCCCATGTGCCCACAGCTGTGGTGCAAGGATCTCCCTGGGATCCCAGCCTTTCCTCGTCTTCCTGTTTCCTGCATCTTCCTCTTTCTTGGTTAATTTCCTCATTTTGGAGAAGCACATCTTTAGTAGCTTCCTGAGAAAGGAGACATGAGACTTTTTTTAGAACTTGAGTGTCTAAAAATGTTTCTTTCCTTTATGTTTAAATGCAACTGTAAGTTAGAAACAATTTTCTCAAAATTTTGAAGATTTTTTTGTTGTTTCTTTTTGCTTCCAGAGTTGTTCTGGACCAGGTCTGACACCAGATTCTTTGAAGTCACTACCTCATTCCCCTGCCTGCCTCGAAACTTTTAAAAAGATTCTTTCTGTTCCGTATGCTTAAAATTTCACTATTATACCCTAATATGGGTCTGTTTTCATCCTGATTTTTATGTGGTTCTTTATTTTTTCTTATTTTTCATCTTTCTGGTTTTGCTGAAGTTTGATTTACTCAGCTTTCTCTCCCAACTCTCCTGGTAAATTTTTCATTTCAGCTATCATACTTTTACTTTGTTGTTTTCTAAGTTTCCTTTTTTCAAGGTTTTTTTTTTTTTTTTTTTAGTGTTTCCTTTTGCCTCTCCTGTCTCTGTGTTAGCCAAGCAGTGTTTTCTGTTTGGTTGGTTTTCTTTCATGATAGTCTTTCTTTAGATGTTAGGTGTTTCCTGCTTGTTTACTTTTTTTGAGAATGGAGCATTAAAATGATGACTGGAATTTCTGCATGTGGGTGTGGTCTTCCATCTGTCTAGGCAGTTTCCTTGGGGAACCCCAGCACTGGTATTTTTAGACCCTGCCTTTAGATCAGTCCAGCATTCTGAATGGAGAGGTTTCAGCCTTCTCTTTGAAGAGTCTAGGTGGGGTTCAGAAGCATGTGGACTAGGGAAAGTCTCAGTTGTGGTAATTCCTTAGTCTCTTTTTCCAGTAGAGTAGCCTCCAACTAGCCTGTTGTTTTCCATATGGGCAATCCTCCAACTGAGCATAGCAAAAGGGACCATTAACCTTTTCATTGCCAAACTATTCTACTGTGTAGATAATACGTTTTGTTTATCCACTCATTAGGTGACATTTTTGGTTGCAATGCTGCTATGAACACACCTGTGTAAAGCTGTGTTTATTCTTCATAAGGATATACCTAAAATAGAAATGTCGGGTCATATGATAACTAACTTTTGAAGAACTGCCAAAGTGTTGTCTGGAGCGGCTGCAATGGTTTACATTCCCACCAGCAATGTGTGAGTTCTCTTATCCATGGACCTGCCAATACCTCTTTTTATTTTGATTTAGACACTTAATATAAAGTGATATCTTATTGTGGTTTTTATTTGCATTTTCTTGATAACTATTGATGCTATACATTTTTTCACGTGTTTATTGGCCATTTTTACGTATTTAAAAAAGTGCCTATTCAAATTCTTTGACCACTTTTAAATTAGGTTATTTACCCTTTTATTGAGTTGTAAGAGTTTTTTTATATATCCCAGAAACAAGTTTCTTATAAGATGTATGATTTGCAGATTTTGGGGGTCATGTTTTATGCATTGTCATTCTCCTTTCTTGGCTTGAAGTACAAAGGATTCTTATTTTACTGAAGTCTAATTTACCAACTATTTTTATTTGTCATTTGTGCTTGGGTGTCATCTAAGAAACTACTGCCTAATGTAAGGTTACAAAACGTTACACCTGTGCTTTTTTCTAAGAGTTTTTTTTTACTTTCAGCTCTTATATTTAGGTCTTTTGAGTTAATTTTTTGACATAGTGCAATAGAAAGGGACCAATTTCAGTATTTTCCGTGTGGATATCAGTTGTCCCAGCACTGTTGTTGAAAGGACTACTTCCCCATCAAATTGTCTTGATACCTGTTATGGATTAAAAACTGGTGGTCAATTTAACACCAGCTGAATTAAATCAGTGTGGTGCTGAGTGTAGATGGCCCACCTGAGGAAAGTTGCCAGCATAAAAGGGCAAGAGTGAGGCGTTGTGGGTTCTCCTAAGTGTTGCTGTTGGCTCTCCTGGAGGAGTTTCTCACGCTGGCCGGGACCTCTTTGTTGCTGTGGTACTTTTTAGGGGAGCCCTGATCCCCTAAAAAGTGTCACTTCTTGGCTCCACTGTAGAGCCCTCAATCTACTAGCCTTTATGCTTCAACCCTGCTGGCACAGACTTTTTAGCTTCCACTGATGACCTTTGGGCCTTCCCAGCATAGAATTGTAAGACAAACTTGCATAGGTCCTTGTTGTGGGCTCTAGGCCTGCAGTTGAACTCATGGGAGTCATTGTCATGGGCTCTAGGTTTTCAGCTGGACTCATGTAGGACATTACAGTGGGATACAGGTCCTTGGCTGAATTTTCTAGGTATTCAGTGTTGTGGACAGATTTCCTGCACTTTCTTGTATTTAACTCTGCGTGACCATCATAAAATAGTACTATAAATCCTATGTCCTGTGTGTAATTGTTCTCCCTGTAACCTCTGACTACACCATCACCCTTGCTGAAAATCGTAAATAAGGATCTATTTTTGGATTTCTAGTTTTATTCTATTGCTCATCTGTGATTCCATTCTTATAGTAGTGCCACATTGTTTAGAATTGTTTATCTTTGTATTAAGTTTTTTCATGGGGAAGTGTGAGCTCTCTAGCCTCTTTGTGAACTTTTTTACCCCACAATTGTTTTGACTACTTTAGATCCCTTCCATTTTCAGATACATTGTAGAAGATACTTGTCAGTTTCTATACAGAAGTGAGTTGGGATTGATAATGGGTTGTGTTGAGTCTGTAGATCAGTTCAGGGAGTATTGCTATATTCATAGTTTTAAGTCATTTCATAATTCATAAACCTGGGATATATTCTTATTTACTTAAGGCTTTAATTTCTTCCAGTAATGTTTTATAGCTTTATGTTTTTTGATTTACAGATCTTATACTGCTTCTGCTATATTTATTCGGTTTGTTTTTGCTTCTGTGTTTGTTTCCATTTTTGTTTTTGTGGAGTTGGGTACCGAACCTCTGGCTTGGGCCTCCCACTTGCTAGGCATATGCTCTACCACCTGCCCAGCACTTTTTGTTTTTATTTCAAGACAGGGTCTCATGAAGTTGCCCAGGCTAATCTGTAATTTATGATCCTTTTGCCTCAGCTTCCTGAGTAGCTGGAATTTCAGATAGGAGCCACCATAGCTGACTCTAAATATTTTTTTGCTTGGTGTTATAAATGGGATTGTTTTCATTTTACTTTGATTGTAATTTGTTATATACAAATGCAGTGGATTTTAAAATGTTGATCTTATATCTTATAACCCTCTCCAACTGGTTTAACACTATTAGTTTTTGTGTGTGTTTCGTTAAAGTTTTTTTATATACAAGGACATACTATTTGTGAATGAAATAGTTTTTATTGTTTCTTCCTAATCTATATGGCTTTTCTTTGTTTTTCTTTCCTAACTGCTCGAGTTAGAGTCTAGTACAATGTTTAGCAGACGTCCTTGTCTTTTCCTTATCTTGGGGGAGAAAACATTAAGTCATTGATTATTAAGTACGCAATTTTAGCTGTAGATTTTCATAGATGCCATTAATTAGGTTGTGGGATGCTCTTCTATTTTTGTTATATTAGATTCGTTAATGTCAAATGAGCATTCTGACTTTATTAGGTTTTTTTTAGATGACCATGTACTATTTTTTCTTTTATTCTATGACTATATGATGCATTATATACATTAATTTTCAGATATTAATCCATCATTGCATTCTGGGGAAAAAAATCTAACTTGGTTACAGTACGTAATACTTTAAAACATTGCTAGATTTGGTTTGCTAATGTTTTCTTGAGGATTTTTATGTTTTTATAAGGGATATTGATGTTTAGATCCTGTGATGCTTTGGACTGGTATTGGCATCTTCTTTAAACATTTGGTAGGCTATTTCAGGGAAGTTTCCTAGCTTTTTGCTTTTCTTTGTGAATAGTTGGTCAGTGTTTTGTTTGTTTGGTTGGTTTTGTTTTTTTGCCTCCTTGTGTAGTACAGGGTGATCTTGAACTCACTATGTAGCCCAGGCTAGCCTCAAACTCATGGCAAACTTCCTGCCTCCACCTCCCAAGTGCTAGGATTATAAGCCTGTGCCATCACACCCAATGTCTTTGTGAATAGTTTTTAAGCTACTAATTCAATATAATATTTTGGTTAAGGACAAATACAAGTAAACATTCAGTTCACAAATTCATACTGGAGTTTTATTATTCAGCCAGTTTTTTCCTATATAATGTCCATAAAAAGATTTTGATATACATGTTTGAGATATATAATTATAATTTTACTGTTTTTCTTCTCTTAAAGGCCATACAGTTGCTGTGGAAATCAATAAAAAATGGCATCTAAGAAATTTGCTGTTAAAGTAAGTAATACATAGTTTTCTTTTTAAAAATGATTGATCACTTTCTCTGGTGAGTTCTAATGTGAGTTCTATGTTGATTGAAAATTGAAGTTCTGAACTTTATTCTGTACTTTCTATTTAGTATTGTGAAAGTTTTAAGAAGTCACTTTTCAATTTTTATTTAAAGAAAATATGAAAAGAAAATTAAGTTTATTTAGTTACAAGGAGTTCTTTTCCTAAAAAGACTTGTATAGGATGATTTTGGTTATACCTTGGTCCTCAAGGTTAAAAATTGTCATTCACATTACATGTGTATATCAGGATTACTAACTGACAAGGTAGACAAAAGGTCCAAGTGAAAAAAGCAGGAAAGAAAGAAGCAATGTATCCTATATGCCAGGAGGGACTTCACTGGCCTCACTGCACTCTTTGCTTTTCTTCTTATGAATACTCCTTCTTTGTCCCCCATGGCTGGGGCTAATACAGTCTCAGGGTGTAGAGGAGTGGGAGGAGTCTCTGTGGGGAAGATAAGAAGAAGAATTAGTAAGTAATTAGTATAGGTTCTTGGAGACCTTTCATATATATTGACTAAACTTTAGGTCATTTCTGTGTGTGAATGCTATTTTAAGTGCCAGTTGAAAGCATCAAAGTATAAATTATAGTAGTTGGTTGACCTTATAGGACAGTACTTAATACCATAGTTTTATTTTTAACCAAGTGCTTATTTAGATTTACTAGTAAATTATAAATTTCATTACTTACAGTTACTTCTTGTACCTATATACTCTAGTATTTCTTTCTGTAAGGGTATGTAAGCGGTGAACAATCAACTGTCTAAAAATATATTCTGTTTTTACTTTAGATAAGAATTGTGGTTTGAGCATTATTGTCCCTCAGCATAGAGATATTTTTTCATTGTCTTTTGTATATGTTATTGTTACTGAGAAATATTTTTGTTTATGTTTGGATGTTTTTAAAAACAAACTGCCCTAAAACTTAGTGGCTTAAAACACTAACCATTTTATTACCTCTGATGATTGTACTGGGTGGCTGTCCTCAGTTGAGTGGTGGCCCTTTTGGGGTTGGCTGGACTGCAGTAGTCTAAGGACTGGATTTAGGTGCAGCATCAAAGGTGGCATGCTCTCACAGCTGGCATCTTACCTGGGTTTGGCATTCATCCTTCTCTTCCCATCCAGATGGCTACTCTCTGGTGCTTAGACTTCTCCTTGCCTGGTATTTCAATTTTGAGGCACAAAACTAGACTTGTGAGAACAAATTTTTAATAGTGTTTAGCATAGTTCTTCTGTATTAGGAAATGTTTCATAACTACTTAAAAGATGATGGTTGTCAGATATATATACATACATATATACACATATATATTTACATATACACATGCATAAATTTGTACAGGTGTAGGTTATATCTACACCTGTACAATATAATATATATAATATATATAATATACAATTGTGTTGTATGAATCTATGATGTATTTACAAATGTGTTTTTGTCCACTTGTTTAATCAGTTGAGAAAGGTGTATTAAAGTGTCCAACTATGATTTTAAATGTGTATTTCTCTTTTTACTTTTATTGGTTACAGATTTATAATTTCTATATATTGAATTAAGTCTTTGATTATTATGAAATGTCCCTTTTTGTATTTTTAGTAATAGTTCTTACTCTAAAGTCTGCTTCTGTGTTAATTAGTGTAACCTGTATTTGGGATCCACCCAGCAAATGTGAACTCCTGCTAGATCCCCAAAGCCTGTAAGTCATTGAGATCCACCCACTTTTACAAAGCTTCCAGTGATCATTTCATTGTTTAATTATGAATGGAAAAGGCAGTATCAACACAGATTTAAGGAAAACTTGGAATATAACAAAAGAGGAAAATGAATGAATGAACTCAGAAGGTCAGAGAAATGCTGGGGAAAAGGAGACTTTGTGCTATGGTTTATGTTCTCCAAACAAGGAGATGGTAGTGTGACCATGAAACAAGAAAATTCCTAAGAACAGAAAAGAGGTTTTGTAAGTTTAAAACATGACAGAAATAAAATGTAATAAAATATAGAACAATCATAAAGAAATATTGCCCAGAAAATAGAGCAAATGAAAACAGCCAAAAATAAAAACAAAGAAATCAGAGTTTTAATTTTCATATGGAAAATTGGAGTTCTAGAAAGAAAAGTGAAGAAAATAGTAGAGAACGTTATGAAAGAATCAATACAATAAAAATTATCACAAATGAAGAATTTGGAGTTCATATCTAAAAGAATTATGAGCTTGTACTCAGCCATCATTAACAAAGAGTTGCACTAAAGTATATCACCCTATGATTTCAGTGCAATGAAACTTCAGAGGAGATGAAAAGTAAAACAAGAAAATCACAGAGGACACAGTAGAATAATGCCCTGGAATATGGAGAAGAGTGGTTTCTAACTCAAAATTCCCCTCACAGCCCAGTTCTCAAGCACAGAGTATAGTAGAAAAGAGAAATTTTGGGAGATGCAAAGACTAAGAAAAATTCCCCTTCTAACATACTTATTTTAGGGAGGAGGTAGCCTTCCAAAACAGGGAGTAAACAGAGGAAAAACCAGATAAAGGATCCAGGATTAAGGAATAGAACAGGTGAGGGCCTAACGAATATCATTGTGAGCACTGAGTTTCATGCTAAGAAGTAACTGTTCTGACTGAAGCAAGACACAAGATTCCAGGAAACATGTCTTCAATTAAAATATGTCCTACATTTAATTGTTTTTTTATTTTCCCAGTCCTGTCAGAGAACCTGGGGATGGTTTAGTTATAGGAATAAAGAAAACTTAAAAAGAAAATATGCCACTGTTAAACCCTCTTACATAAACGTGATTGTGCAAAGTAGGAAAGTAAGCATAATACACTACCTGGCTGAGCTTTGAACGAAGGTTATGTTACATAATACTGTGGATTCCAAGTTTTAGAACACTAAAGAAAGTCCTGTGGGAAGATGTTAGTAAGCATTAAGTTTCCATGTTCCATGGGTGATATATAAAACTGAAATAATTAATTGTAGTATAGACAAGGCATTTAGACATACAGCATGATGGTATATACCAGATCAGATACCTAGATTTCCAGTATGATTGCCCCTAATGAGTGCATTGGGGCTAGATGGTATCCATTTTTGATATTTTAATCTGTGTCTTGCATTAATGTATGGAAATTAGGTGAATAAGTAAAATTTTAAAAGAATTTATGCAGATTTTTCATATAGATGTATCTACTTTTGACTATCTGTGTTGAAAAATTCTTAGAGCATGATTTTTAAAGCAATAGAACAACTGATGAATATCAAATAATTTGTCATTTATACCTGGGCAGTTTATTCTGAGACTTTCCCTAGAATGATGATGTTAATTTGCCATGCAAACAACTTATCCTTTTTCAGATGAAAAATGGATCTTCTGACTTTCTTGCAAATAAGTGCGTTCTTTTTTCTTTTTAACTTCTGTGACCTTGGCTTTAAAAACTCTCCTGTAACTGCTCTACAGGAAATCTACAGGCTAGATTTCCAGAGGGAGAGCAGCAGTGTATGAGATGAAGAGTCCTTCGAATCACAGCTTCAGAGTTTCTTGATGTCTGGGTCTGCCGCTGATGGCAGTGAGGTGTGTGCTTCTGCACCTTTGTGATGCATAAGTGAAGAAGTGGGCATGTTTGAACAGAGGAGCAGAGCAATTTTAATCCCCAGCTTTTGCTTTATTTTGTTGCTATGCTGGGATTGGACTTCCTAGGCACATATTTTACCGCCAAGCTATACCCAAACTCAACCCAATATTTAAAAATTTCCCAAACTGTAAAGTCTAGACCAGATAGAGGTCGGCAAATTACAGCCCACATGGCAGTTGCCTGTTTTTGTAAATACAGCTTTATTGGAGAACAGCTTCTCCCTGGTTTGTTTACATATTGTCCCCGCTGCAATGGGCAAGTTGAATAGTTTCAACAAAAGTCTTATTACATACAGAGTCTGAAAGGTAAATATATATATGCTTTGATCTATGTGTAGAATGAGTATATAAATATATCTCTTTGTACAGGTTTTAATTCCTACTAGCTGCATTTCAAATGCTCAGTAGGCACAGGTGGCTAGTGGCAGCTATATTGGACAGCATTTTATTTTATATATATTTTTTGTAGTGCCTGGGATGCACTCCAGGGAAGTGCCGAACCACTGAGCCATACCCCAGCTGGCCTCCATAAGCAGAACAAGGTTAAGCAGTTGCATTTCTCTGTAGTCTCTCCTCCGTGCACTGCTCAGAAGACACTCAGTGTAGTGACTCAGAGTAGAAGTAGTTACAGAAGTCAGGTGGATCAGCAAGACCAAGGCAAGGCCTTTGCTTTGCAACTGTATGTGAGAAATAGACATGGGCACATGAGGCGTTAGTCATGGACATTGAGCCACTAAAATACAAAACTTTAGTTAGAAGGAATTATTAAAAATGTCAAATAATACATAAGGTTCTATTCAGGAAAGCTGAAAGGTCCAGCCCTGGCTTTCAGGATATTTAAAAAGGATTTAATGTTGCCAGCCCTCATTCCCAATAACAATTATATCTTAAGATTTTCAACTTGAGTTTCAGCAATGCAGTACTATGAAAGCTTCCCACTTCATTGTCTGTCTCTGTGGATCATTTCCTCTGCTTCCTGCATCTGTTTTCTTGGATTACTTGGGTATTACACCAAAGTCTAGAATTCTTCTGGCTACAGAGATTGTTTTGCTGTTCACCCCCACCCCCAGCTCACTTTATTGTGAGTGGGAAAATTTTTGTTGGGAGGGCTTGATTAATTAGGAGGGATTCCTGGCTTCCCTAGCAATGGCAGCCTGGGAAGATTACAGAGCCTGGCTTAGTGACAGGGGCCAATCTGTATTAAAGGAAAGACTTGGGCTGGCCAGATTTCCCTGGAATGTGGATCTGGCTTTGTCTTCCACAGGGAATATGCAGTGACCCTCCGCTCCTCCTTCCCACCCATTCCAGAAGGCCAA